TGTGTGAGTCAGAGTCCTAAATGACTTCCCAGAATCCTCCTTAGAAAACACCTAAATACTGGCCCTCCCTGATGGTGCAACGGGTTAAAGTACTGCACTGTGAAGCTACTGCAGGCACTGTAGCACGAGTTCAATTCCTGGCCAGGGAGGTGTGGCAGACCTCCTCTGACCCGCCAGCTGCTCCCCTCAGCAGTGTATTTCAGTCAATCTGCCTTTTCTGCTCCCCACTCTGTCTCTGGTGAATCCTCTCACCCCTCTCCCCCACCTCTCTGGCAGTACCCCAGTTCTGTATGCATAAATAAATAAATCTTAAAAAAATAAACACCTAAATACTGTACTCCTTAGGAAAACTGCATTGAAGAGTAAATGGTATAACAGTTCAAGTCCAATTTCATAATGTATTACCATTCCCTTTTCCTTAATGTTCTCTATTTGGATGATTATTTTTCTATATTTGAAATAAATATTAGAAGGACACTAAAATAAAATCATAAAAATTCTACATAATTCATAATTAGTGTTTTTAGTTATAATAGAGGGCTCTCATTTTCCATGTACTACCTGTCAGGTGCCTTTTATAAAAAGTATATAGATGTACCAGATGATTTCACTCATAGCAGGAGTATAAAGGACCAGGGGGAAAAATAAAAATAATAATAAACAACTATATACCAGAGACATTTTATAGGGTGGAGTGGGGAATGAAATCAAAAATTGGGGGGGAGGGGAGTACACTGGACTATGGTGATGGCACATGAGTGATTTGGTGACGGGAAACCCATGGGGATTACAACTGAGATGGAAAAAGGCACAAAATGATGTAAAAATAAACTATTATATATTAAAAAAAACATAGAGATGATATAATATATTAACCTTATTAACCTGATAATGTTAAATTAACCTTGATACTTAAGTAATTACTTATTCTTAGAATTATGGAATATGCTAACACATGTTGTTAAACACTAACTTGAAAATTAAGTTTCTACATTTCTGGACTCCTACAGACACCACAGCAAGCAGGAAGCAACACTCATATTTCATTGTCATTAACAATATTTCAGGGAAAAATAAAGATATCAACTTCACATATTTTATAGTTTAAAGTTCCCAAATAAAATAAAATTTTAGGTTGTATCATAAAATGGTAATAAAAAAAGCACTCATGAATATTAATTGAATTCTAGTTAGAAAACTTTTTATAATTATTCATATAGACAATAATTTTTATCAGCCTTCAAGGAAAAATTTTTCTCAATTTTTTTCTGTAAAAATTTTATAAGCATTAGTGAAATAAGCCAGAAAGAAAAGGAAAAATACCAATGGTTTCACTCATAGCAGGAGTATAAAGGACCAGGGGAGAAAATAATAATAATGAACAACTATATACCAGAGACATTTTATGGGGTGGAGTGGGGAATGGGATCAAAAATGAGGGGCGGGGGAGAGAAGTACACGGGACTATGGTCATGGCACACAGGTGATTTGGAGATGGGAAGCCCACGGGGATTACAACTGAGATGGAAAAATGCACAAAATGATGTAAAAATAAACTATTATATTATTTTTAAAAAATACAAGAACAAGGTGAGAAAATGTTTGAATATATTTGCATAAATGTCTGAAAATATGGCTAACAATTAAAAATTGAAGTGTTTCTCAGGTGGGGAGGGAGGTAGAGTAGAGAAGGGAGAGAGAACATGGGCAGTTTGGTGGTGGTAAAACTATGGTGAAAGCATCTGAAGGGAGAAATACTATATTGTAAAAAATAAACAAGAGGGGCCCTCCCTGATGGTGCAGCGCATTAAAACACAGCACTGAGAAGCTAAGGCCACTTCAGCATGAGTTCGATTCCCACCTACCCTGGAGGTGACCCACATGGCGGGGCAGACCTCCCCGCCCACTGCTCCCCTCAGCAGTGTACTTCATTGTTCTGCATGTTCAGCTCCCCACTCTGTCTCTGGTGAATCCTCTTATTGTACTTGTGCCTCTGGCCTGTACCCCAGTTCTGTATGCATAAATAAATAAATCTTAAAAAAAATAAACAAATGTTCAAGAACAAATTAATAAATAAAATAAGAGTGTTAATTAAAAATCATTAAATAAATAAATAAATTGGAGTGTCCCGTAAGTCTCTGACTTCCTTTGAAAAGACAGATCTAGCGACTACATTGTAGTTCCCCATCAGTCTCTCTTCTTGGTTCTGTGTTCAAGGTTTCACTGGCCTTATGTTCATTTCCACTCCATGTCTGTTCCTTATAGGCACCTGAATTTGCAAACCTTGATTTAAACTGTAGTCATTTCATTAGTTGATATCTCAGTGCTTTTCCTAAACTAAGTTGCCTCTGAACTATATATTCCCTTTATTTCTTTCTCAGAGTTCTTGAGTATTTATTGCATTTCTCTTTTTTAAGGTTATATCCATGCCCTTAGTTGTCAAATCAAGCATCTTCTGTGTTCAGTCTGACCAAATAAGAAATTTTCTAATAATTCTGTCTTTACCACCTCTCCAGTCCTTGATTCCATTCTGCTACTCTTCCAAGCCTATTTTGTAAGCATAATCTGTTAATGATAACAAGTCTGCCTGCTTAGAACAATCTGGAAGATAGGAGAACAATGTTTATATTTAGCCTTCTCTTCCTGTGAAGTTAATGAGAAGAGAAGAAAGTCATTGAACAATTAAGGCACAGATGACTGGGGCTGTT